ATATGCTGAGTATTCTTAAAGATAAAAATGGATTGCAAGTCCAGTAACTAAAATCCAGTATAACGCCCTTTCATGATAAAATACATTTGCATCATTGGGAATGCAGCTGCACTCTCAGTGCTTTCTATACCACCTTAACTTATGCATCTAAACCTATGGTGTCTGAAACGAACATTACAGAGGCTCCCACACAACTAAAGCAGGAGTAAAAGCACTTGTTCAGAATGGAGGATGAGGCTTGTACTCTAGATGCTGCAAGCTCAGGTTCAGGCCTGCTCTGTGTCATTAGCTGACTGTGACTGGACCACCACACTGCACCGACCCCTGGGAACTGCGGAACTGGGGAAGTCCGAACTCTTCCTACGCCATACTGGGTTCCACAGAAGTGGTTAAAAACTTCAATTCCCAGACAGGATGCATAGAGCGTACTGTACCTGCCAGTTTCAGATTTAGAAGTGAGATTTAGTTCTATACAAATGTCTAACCCGGGCCTGTATATTGTAGCGCCACGCAGGGCGCTTCAGCCATGCGCACGCAAGGCAGGCTGGGAACAGCGCCTGGGGGCGGGGCTACGGGACTGTATAGAGTGGGGCGGAGGCGGGGAGACGGGCTCTTCCGTTCATGTGTGTTAGTGAAGGTGCAGCGCTGTAACCCCTGTCCCTGTGTGTGTGTGCCTTCCCCTGGTTCTGGTTAATACATGTGTTGTTCAACCCCTTTCCCGAGTCCTAAGCCTGCTCAATTCCGTACTGAAGCCCGCAGTCGTCACAATATGATGCCAAACACCTTGGTTTCTGCCCCAAGAGCCTTTATAAGCCACGGACAGGGATCGACCTCTAAGCGAGCTGCTGGATGTGGGGCAAGAGTCGACTGACTGATGACTTCCTGCTGCCTGACACACTGACAAGCTCCAGAACCATCACCGGTGAGAGGAGGCCTTTGACCCGAGTAGCTCACGTGATCGCAAGAAGCTAACTGGAACCGGAATTCCCCATCGGAATGTCAAAGGGGAACTTCCTCCAGGACTCGCTCTACACAGAGAGCAAGACATTCCTGAGGGTTACATGCGTGAATAACTGACGAATTCATCGAGGATGTCAACACGCGTGTCACAGCATTGTTTCGTTTTTTTTTCAGAAATTATGTGGATTTTTAAAGTAGAAGAAACATCGCTTACTAATCCACATTATAAAAAATGTTTACTGACAGTAAGACCTAAAGCTTTTGCTTGTCTGTCAAGGTACACTTTTGCTATTTAAATAATAACATTGAATGGCTGCTTTACATGAAATTATTCATTTTAAAAGTGCTCCATCACACCGAAGTGTTTTAGTCCTGGTATAACACACATTGCATTTAATGTGTGGAACCATACCTGAGTTGTAGAACATGAAACTGGGATTGTCTGCGTCCACAGCGACTGTGATTGGCCCAATGGTTGCTACGGCATCAGCCAGAGCCTGTTCGTCTCCAGCAGGAATAAATTTGTAGTCCTTGATTTTAACAACTGACTTTCTTTTGTCATAGGAACAAGGCTGGTTATCCTGGAAGCAGACAGAGAATGAAAATGTAAATATTGTTTACAGTTTTTTTCCCCACCTGTATCCACAGCTAATTCGCATGAACCTATACCACTCACACTTGTGTAAGATTCTCTTCTTTCCAACCAAACTGAGCAAACAAGCTCCACACCAGCAAAAAGGCTTAGAATATGTGAAGTTGTGTTAAAAACAAGATCGCCCATAAGAACAACAATTAAATGTATTTGTTCAATTATTTATAATTTAACTATTGTAAATCAGCAGATTTTCTTTGACTTTAAGATTAAACACTGAATTATATCGTATCATGTCATAGTTGACATCACTTTCCGGGACAGGCACAGTGCCATGTGGATCTTGCTGCATACACGTCCTGCAAGTGACTGAATGCAGATCGATTAAATGCACTAGACGTGCATCTGAAGTCCCAAACAAGCTCTGAACCTACAGTAATCAAGATCCTGCTCTGGCTTTGGGAAGTTTTTCAGACCGAAAAAGGCACAACAGCGCCTGCACTTTCCGCGGTGCTTAAAGAAATGCGGTTTGGGGAGGCAGCTCCTCATTAACGTTTACCGCAGCACCACAGAAAGTGTCCTCACTAGTGGCAACACTAGTACTGCAGTGACAGATACGCACTGCAAAGGGTTGTAGGGCAACGGCACAGAGGATTATAGGATGTGATTGACCAACAATCGGTGAGATTCACACCATCCACCATTACAATGAAGCCCGATCCATCGTTCAAGCGGTTCCGCACTGTTAAAGCACGGACCACTAGACTCAAGAACAGCTTCTATCCCACTGTAGTACACATCCTCAACAGCTGACTGCAGGGCCCCAATATACTGTACATCAGCACTCTGCACTTTTTATATGGGCTACCTTTTTATTTTGGTCTCACTACTACATATTTATTGTTCCACAACATATTTGTTTATTGTTCCTGTTATTATTTATTATGCTTGTAATCCACTGTCTACATTGTGTAGTGTTGTCTGCTGTACTGTTTTACGTCCCAAGAGATCAGCGTGATTAAGAATTCCAATGTCAGTGTACGTATGCCAATAAACTACTCTACTCTACTGTTTCAAACTGCTTAATCACTTTGTAACTGTTTTAGAACAGCTGATCACTCTGAAGAGCCCGGCGAGTGACATCCCTGAGACAGTGTCCCTGCCCCGCGCGCCCCCCCTTGTGCTCAGGCCGCGCTCCGCAGTCACTCTGCTCCGCACCAGCGATGTGTAGGGGTAGGTGGCTTCAGACTGCAGCCCGTGTTTCACTACGTAGTCGTAGGCATTGGCCATCCAGGCTCCGTTGCAGCCGTAGGTGCCATAGGAGCGCGAGCAGTCCAGCAGGTTCTGCTCACTCAGGGACACCAGCTGGCCGGTCCTCTTGAACAGCTGGCCCTCGATAGCCCCTGTGGTGCTGAAGGCCCAGCAGGAGCCACAGAAACCCTGTGCAGGACAGATCACAGTGCATTTGCAATTTATATACATGAACACGAGAAGAAACCTGCCCTGGACTCTGTCTCAGTTTTCTCAGTGTGGTTAGTAAGATAAGAGATCATAGTCAGCTAGAAACCTTCTGATCCTCATTATGTGTGGACCTGCAAACAATGCTGTCACTGCTTTTATGTAGTTGGCTCATGTTCAATCAATCAATCAATCAATCAAGTAGATAACGTTTTACTATGGCGCAATTTGAGGCATTGTTGTCAAATGTTTTTTCTTTTGTCTGTTTTGTGGTCAAATTGTCTTTTGTCTCTTAACAAGTGAAACACGTCACAGATGACAATCCTGACTTCACACCAGAAGTTAATTGTGCTACTACTGGTTTAATTGGACCTAAATAATTCATCCTTGAGTGATGAACAGCAAATGTACAAGCTCCAACCAGTCAAACTACTATAAAACCAAATTATAATCCATTATTTTTTAATATCTGAGATATCTTAGAAGAAGAGGTTAATTTAACATTGAAAATAACAAGAAAAATGTATCCTGTTTCAGTGGCCTTATGCCTGAAGGAGAATCCACCACAGAAACATCTCCTTTCTTCTTGCTTATGAAGTAAGTTTTTCCATTGCAGCTCCCTACTAGAGCCACACTGTGCTGCAGTTTTACACATTTCCACCTGCTTTCCCACTTCTGTTTCATGTTGTAAGAGTCCGACATTCCATAACATGCAGTGGAATTTATTTTAATTTAGTTATATTACATTGCATTTCTGTTTTCAGACTTTTGTTCCAGCTCTAAGAAGGTTCAAAGAAAATGAGTGGGGTTATTACCTGGTCCTTAACACGAGTGACGTAGCCCATGGTTCTGTAGTCGACTCTAACAGCATTGAGTCTCTTAGCTGCAACACGGAGCTTGAGGGCAGAATCCTTCTTACCAACCTTCCTTGGTTTGTTGTAAATGTTTGTGCCCTGCAGGATCTTGTACTCTTCTTTGGTCTAAAGATAAGACAAGTCAGTAAAGAACACGCTAGAGTAGCAACAGTGCTCCATATAGATGAGATGAAACTGTGAATATGTATTTTCCACTGTGGCCAGACTGCCCTCTCCTTAGTGTTAGATTGACAGTTTTTCTAGGATTTGGAAAAAAAGGTCACAAAGTGTTTGCAAGTACAGTAATTTCTGCCACATTTTGAAAACTATGGGAAAAGGTGGGAACTTGAACCAACAATTAAAACAGAAAACAAATCTCAATACTCACAAGGTCTCCATATTTGTTCATGGCCAGTTTAAATTTCTTATCGCCTTTCAGGTAGTTCTGGTTGTGCTCTTCAATTAGCTTCATGTTATCTTCCCAAATGGCTTTCCTCTGACCTTCATCACTCTAAAATCACACAAGAACACACCTTGAGAATCATCTCTCACCAGAATTGTTAAATCACTGTACAGAGAGCTGCTAAATCAAAATCAATGTAAATATATACAGCCACGGATCTGAGATCTGAGGATACCTGTGGCCAGGGAAGTTGCCTTTACCAGACAGTGATGTTTTGGCTAATGAGTCTAAACAGTAGCCCAATATGAAGCATTGTCTGTACACACCCATGGTATACTTTGACTCTATAAAATAAAATTACATAAAATGAACGGTAAACAAACTACTGTATTTAATCCATATTGGTTTCTTCTCAGCTGTCCATGTTTCGGGATATAAAAGCTAACCCAAACTATTCACCTGAATGTGTACATGTGGCTCAACACAGATCCTACATCACCTAACATTGCTGTAATTAAATGAGAACCTGCCATGTGAAAAGGGGCCTAATCTCTCAATACTGTATATTAAATAGCTATTTGTGACAGTTATATCATTAATTTAAATCATGCCTCATATAGAATATATATACAGTATGTTACATAATTAAAAAAAAACTGTCCCGTTTCTTATCTTAGTCTTTCAGCTCTGATTTCAGGCATAGTCAGATATGTCTTGGAGTGTGTCCAAGAAATATTACATTCCCTTTACACTTTAAACTCAACCTGGCATTATATAAGTACCATCACACTTTAATATTGTAAAATTGTTTACATAAGCTTTACAGAACAAAAATATCCATTCGCATGTTGTTTGTTTGCTGTTCCTCTAATGGCTCAGGGTAAATGGATGTCAGAAGACCAGCCAAAAGGCTTAACTGCGTCATCACTTTTAGCGGAAGTGTGTGATGAATGCAAGCATACAGCTTTATTTTCAGCGTATAATTAGATTTAATGCCATGGTTTTTCTTGTTTAAATTATACCGTTTACATTGAAGCACAAAAAAAACATGTTTGCTGACGTATTTACAGCGATCCATTTTCCAGGCTTCTGAGATGCACCTGCATGTCTGATTACACTGTGCTTTCTCACCTTCTCGACGTAGGAAACTCCAAAGCTTCTCTTCCACGCCTGCCATTCCAAATCTATGTCTTCTTCTGAGCTCAGCGCACGCTGGGTGGAGTGGCACAGAAGAGCCAGCAAAATAAGGGGCTTCATGGTGATCCTGCTGAAGAAGAGTGGGGGAACGTGGTGAGGGGCATGAGGACCATCCAGACATAGGTCAGCCGCTCACCAGTTGACAAAGTTCTTGGTCACACACTCATATTCTCGTCTCTAAAGAGCAGTTGTATACCCTGAGGCTAGGAAAGAATTGTGTCATGCAGATATCCTCGATTCTTGCCACTCGTAGATGGATGCATTGCAAATAATTTTGTAGCAATGAGTCTGTTTGAGTCTGTGTTTCTATGTTGTTTGAAGAGTTTTAACTCAAGCCCAATTTGCCCCGTTACACAGATGGCTACAAAAGTTAAAGTATATATTTTAATACTATACATTTTGACATATACTGTATGACACCAAGAATATATGGAAAAGACTGCACACAGGGGTTTTAAGTGCAGCCAGAGTTTCATTATTTCTGAAAATGATGAAACCTATAACATTATCATAACTTTGCCCAAATAATTGTTGAGCCGATAAAGAATTAATAAAAACAGAGTCAGATTCTCACCTGATCCTTCAAAGTTGCTTCAGGCAGAGAATCTCCGGTGTCTGTAATCTCTGTAGTACAGTAGGCAAGGATAGCCCGTCTGCAGCTCAGTACTGCAGCAGACTGATAATAAGGTGTCTTGAGCCCATCTTTTATTCTTCCAGTTAGTGGGTGTGTTTCGACATGCCCAATATGCCTCAAAAAACTCTTGTGCATTTACTGTAGTTTTAATTTAGGGATCTGGAAAAACATTCTGAAAAAACAGTCTGTCATTCACAGACCAATGATATAACCTGGAAATCTGGTACATTAACTATAGAGATTATTTGATTTAGCCTCTTGGAGAAAAGAGTTTTAATCTGTCCTAATGCAAGAATATTCACCTGTAGGTTATAGAGTTTAAAATCAAAATGTTATTAAAAACTCAGATTATAAAGATATAATACCATTCTTTTATGCTTTGATTATATTATATCACATCATGTCTGTGATTATGTTTAAAAACATTGTGAATTATCCTCACTTTTTTATTATTTTGATGTTTTAGATAAGGCCTAAGATATTTTGTGTGATTCTTTATTGCTGTGTTACCATAGATAATTATTAACCTTTAATGTTGGCTCCTTAAGGAATTACTGCTTTCTTTCAATTCTGAATGTTAATTTTCATTTACAACACTCCAATTTGAAATGGCCAGTGAAAAAGTGTCCTCGCTTACCTCTCCTCGCTGCCACACCTGTACAGACAGTGGGGGGGTTTAAATGTGGTGTCAATCGTGAGATGTTGTAATATATGCCAGGGACCTGTGCAATACATTTATATTGATATCTATATTTACATCTATATTTATATTCATATGTGTGATACGATTTTTCTGTGTACTGTTCTGTTCTAGTTTGTTCTTTGTGTGTCCGGACTGTGAGTAACTCTTGTATTGTATTGTACGTATTGTACTATTATTATATAATTCGTTACACTGTGGCTCTGTTGTGTGTGTTAAGCTGCTGTTGCACTGCAATTTCCCTCACGGGATCAATAAAGTATCTATCTATCAACAGAGTACATGTGCAGAATTTGGGTCTGTAGCCCCAAAAAAATCCCTCCAAAGAAACACAGGAAACATTTCACAAAAATGACAGCCTCAGGAGCTTGCATGAATGTAGTCTCAGATCTCCATATGTAGTAATGTAAATCTACAGTATATATTTTATCAGGAACTCATTTTTATATCTCATCCAAAATAATACTGCATAAACAGTATTTAAAAGGTGAGGCACAACAGATTTAGAATTTACAGCTTTATTTCAACTGTGCCTGGAAGAGTTTCCCTCACACAGGGCGTAAGGTGTGCATCTCCATGTGAGACTGTCACCTCCTGTCACTGTACTCTCGCTCTGTACACTGTACTGCAGCTCATCTGTGTACTGGTCCACACCTTCACCTGCTGGTCACTGTTACACAACAATAAATTCTACCGTTGGACCACAATAATGTTGATCACATCTGATGTCCCATAGGGCTTGGTTCTTTGTCCCATTTTTAGCATTTGTATAATCAGATTGTATTTATGGTGTCGCTTTTTTTTTTACACCGATAACTGCTGCATTTACAGTAGGTTCACCAAAGCCTGGAATTAATCAAGCATTATCTGCCTCATAACATGCCTCATCATGTTTACATGATGTTAAAAAATGGACCCAACAAGATGTTTTTACATCTGAATTCTGAAAAGACTACAGTTATGCTGGCCACACTAAAGGAACTGGCTCTCCTTTTCAGCTTTGTTACAGAGTCAAATTTTGTGTAATTACTGATGGTCTTGGAATCAGTCCACGTACTCTTGATGACAAGTCTTACACTTGAAGATGATGTTCATAATGGTGTGAAGGTGTCTTTTTCATCTTTGGAACATTGCTTGTGTCCATCCCTCCCAGTCAAATGCAGAGTACTTGCAAGCACGCATTTGTAGTTTTTTAGTCTTCATTACTGTAATGCATTGCTTTGTGGTGTATCAAAGCATATTCCCAACAAAATATCTACAGAGCTCAGCTACTCCAGTCTTAATTAAAACTAGAATCTTGCCTGTTTTAGCTTCTTTGCATTGGCTACATGTCATTCTGAACCCTGGGCGTCTAGTAGTTCACAAAACACGGCTTGAAACCCGGGAAGCTAGGATTTCTCTTCTGTTGCTCCAGTGGTTTCCCAGCCCATATTTCAAGTCAGTCAGCTATTTCATGTCCTGCCTTAGAACTTACTCTAATAATCTAGCTTTTGGTTCTGCTTCTTTTGTGGTATTAAATGGATTATTTGGTCTAATGTTTTTTTTTTCCTTTTGCTGTGCCTTGATACAATGGATTATGATCTGTGATGTAAAAGGGAGTTGATCATTGTTCATGTTTTTAATTCACAAAGCGGCGATGTGACTTGTTGCTTGTGTTGAATTCACTGTAAACATAGAATACATAACAGGGTGTTTACATTACTGCTACATTGCAGTTCCACCCATATGCTGGTTGTGATCTTCTACAGTATTTCTTTTTTTTGCACAGCACCTGTGCTAGCCTTCTGTTCTTTCACACATTTTATTTTTTACTTTACTGGACCTGTAGAACTGCTCCTTGTACTTGCACTGAATGCAGACTTTTTACATTGTACGTCTCCCTGGCCAAGGGCATCTACTAAGCCCATTTGTTCTTACTAAGCTTTTCCATTTTCTAAACACTTCCACCAATTCCCTGTTGTAGGGGAGCCGGAGCCTATCCCAGCCATGGGCACAAGGCAGAATACACCCTGGACAGCACTCCAGTCCATTGCTAAAAGCTGGTATCTTCTCCCTCAAAATGAGCAGTATTAACAACAGGAACAAGTAATAGGCTTATTCAACAATTTTTCAACATTTTGGCTACACCCGAAAAAGGCTCCACAGCCGAAACATTGTGTTTCTTTTCTTCTCTTTTCAGCGTGGAATAAACCTGTTACTTCTTCCTTTGCAGCCTACGCATGCTGACGTAGCTAGCCACCAGTATTAATAACTGGTAAATTATAAGTTTTTATAAGTATCATGGTAGAGAACACTGGCGGACACTTGAAGCTCATAACATGTATATATTGTAATCCACCCTCCATTTTTAATCACTATATCCAATACAGGGCTGTGGGGGAGCCAGAGCCTATCCCAGCAAGCAACAGGCACAAGGCAGGGTACACCCTGGATGGGATGCCAGTCTATCACAGTGCACACACAGAGACACAAACACACACACACCAGGGCCAATTTTCCCAGAACCAATAAACACAATTAACCCAGGAAACTGGAGCACCCAGAGGAAACCCATCCAAATGTACACAGACAGCACCCCAGGTCTGGAATTGGCAATTGAACCCAGGACCCCAGCATCGCAACGCAGAGATGCTGACCATTGCACCACTGTCTCTACATTTACTACACAAATAATCAAATCTCACCTTTAGGTCTTTTTCTTGCCTTTTGTACGACCTTTACATCTTCATACACTGACTCCCATGAGCAGATATTAAAAGGTATTAAAATGCACAACGTGTTGTTGATTAAATTACCTTTTGTTTTTCATAGCTTCAGAGGACATCTGAAAAGCCATTACCATTACTCAACCATACATTTTCATTATACTCATCCCTCTATCTGAAAATTCAAAGTGGTTCTTGTTAATAGCAGACCTTTCAGTAAAGTGTTGACCCAACATCTCTGTTTTGGGAATATTGTAACATCTAGACAAGATCTGTCTTTAGCTCGGGCTCTGCTAAGTTAGTCCACCATTCAATGAGATATAATAATTAAACTATAAATATCCAATTATTCAGCATATGAGTAAGTGTGCTACTTTACCAGCAAAACAAGACAAGGTTCTGTCGTCTGCTCTTTTTAAAAACCCTTGTTTATATAACCTGGCAGCAGAGGGATAAACCATGATTGGTATTAAGGCCTGAAGATTATAAAATTACAGTCTGCGAAATGATGAAACCGTCTTCTGGAGGTTGTGGTTAAACCAATATCAGGATACAAGTGTGTAGATGATGTTAGTCTGAAGGTACTATTTTCTTGGCTGCTCATTTTGGTATTAAATGAGTCCATTTACTATTTGGATGTTTGCATTCAACGGTGGGATGGCGTATTCCAAGGGCAGGGATGCAGTCGGGGCACTAACTACCTCCTGCAAGAGTAACCCCTAATTATTTCACCAATTAAGGTAATTTACAATGTAAAACAAACAAGGTGACTGAAAGCCAGCTAAAATGGCTGAAAGAAATTACAAATCAAATCTCTAATTTTCTCTTTGACATAGTTTTCATAGTTTTCATAATTCTCATTACAAATGTTTAAAAGAGCACCTTAAAAAACGTTTCTGTAGCCTTCTTCATATTAACAACAAAAATAAATGCGTTCCCCCTACGGAAGACTAATATTGAAATTGTTATCCATCCGTATTCAGTATCCAGGGTTTTATGGTGAGTAGCAGTTGTGTCCCAGTATATTTTGTTTTCCCAGTGAATGAAAACATAATTGTCCTGTAGAGCTCAAAATGAAAACATACTGCATGACATGCAAATCTGTGGATAATTATAATACATAAGATATTGTGACACATCCAGGACTCGGGGATCTTAAAATAGGCTGGTCTAGGCAAAACAGACACACAGACGCAACCATTAGGTACAAAACCAGTCATTTTTATGTACAGTGCAGGAATACGTTCCAAAACAAAATCCTGGCTCTGTCTGAGCTCTAGCTAACTTCTTTGGCCCCTCTCTAAATTACAGTGGGGGTAGTTAAGCTACTTGCCCTCAAACAACACGTTTTCCTCTCTGGTTCGAATCTTACAAAAACTCCGTTCTTGCCCCCCGACTTGTCAGATGCTTCCTTCCACCCCCTTGTCCTCTGGCGCAGAGCGTGACACGGGTTCGGCTAACTTCCCAGCCAGCAGAGGAAGACGGCACACATGAAAGCCCCGGCTTCCTGCTCTTGCGTGTCACCTGACCTGTTGTCTTCCTCTTATTGGTCAGTTGACAGAGGATGGCAGGCCACCGCACTGCTCTCTGGGAAATGGAGACCCTTGTCTGAAGCTACCGTTC